ACTGACATTGTTTAAATCAATTTATTTTTGCAATGTGTAATATTGAGATTGATTCAGATATTATGCGCTAAAATTAATTGTCTGATTTTTAAAGTCTGGATTTTTGTGAAAATAAAATACATCCTATATAACATTCTATATAAAAATAATAATTAAACGGCATCACAACTCCATGATTTCATAAAGTATAGACAATTAAAATTAGTAAATAAATATAAATAAATCGCTGATGATTTTAATATCAGCGGCAATATGCTTTTCTATTATACCGATTATCGATCACATTGCAGATGCTCCGTTTATGATGATAACTTAATTGAAAATAACTTAATTAAAAATATCGTTTAACGGATAATATCAATATCACAGTTAAAAAATAAGATATTTTGCTGTACTTTATATCATATGAATTAATTACAGGCATCGGTATTGTAATTTTATTTTCTGCCCTGTCGGTAACATTGGGAACGATACAAAACTCTACCATTAACTAAAAATAAGTTAGACCAGATATGATGCTTCACGATCCACATTTCGGGGATTGCCCGATTTATTTATCTCTCAAATGTGAATATTTTATGCATTTGCAAATACAAGAAAACATTAGCAAAAATAATAAACGCTTTTTTTACTTTCATAATACTATTGTAAATTGTATATCGAAATTGATTCAGTTCTATTAGTTGATGCAATATAATCGTTAAATACATACAAAACATATATGCAAAACACATAAAAACTATATGTAAATTAAATGTATTACTGCATCATTGATCAACAATTCTGAAAACTACTGAAATTGTATATTAATCTTTTCCATAACTAACTAACTAGCGTAGAAACAAGACATTTTTTTATACTCCATTTGTAAACATATTTTCCAAACCTTCGTCGTATGTATTTGCAATGGAATTTTTACTTTCTTTATATTCTAAATCGGATGTTTCATCATTCTGTTATCTGAATGTTTTAATCCTACAGAAAACTAACAGTCTTGCAGAAGTCGATCTGCATTGCTTCTTAATATTCTGCTTTTACAATTGAAAAGGAATGTTTCAAGAATCATGAAACCTCTATATAAATCGTATATTAATTCAGAATAGACGTGCATCGATCAAATATTGAATACTGAATACTGAATAAATAATAATATTAGAAGTGGTCTCAATAATAACAATTAGAGAAATAATTAGTATTTCATTTATTAATTCATACATTAATTTTTGTAGTTCGATATGTTCTTACAATGATAATTTTAATTTTTCCATTTATAAGATTATTTTTAGCAATTAACAAGTAGAAAATGAAGAACAAATAAATTATTAAGAATCGTACAGAATACAATACAAAATAGTTAAAACATTCTGGTGATGTATAGTTCAAAAGTAAACATTTTTTAAAATCTATCAACTCTTACATTCTTTTTTCTTAGGAAACGTGTGATGATTACAATGATTAATAAAAAAATATGCAATAAAAAAAAATGAAGATTGGAACATCACATGCGAAAACAGTGGAAAATGCGAAATTATTATTATGAATAATTAAAGTAACTTCATCATAGAGTAATTAGTTTTTAATTAAAAATAGTTTCATCATCGTTCGGAAATAAAATCCATCAACACCTCATTGACACATTACACATACATTCTTCAGAATCGTGTATGTACACAATAATTAATAGAAAATATACAATAGTAACATTAAAAGTAAAATACGAGGGGCAACAATAAAAAAAAAAATAAAGATCGAGATGATATCACATGCGTGGGAAAAAATAAAAGTAACTTCGTTATTTATTGTAAGTAAATATTTTTATTGACAAAAGAAATTTAATCGTAAAAATGGCACTTTAATTCAACTAAATCACTAAATTTCATTGTTTTCTGATTCAAAATCAAAACAGGGAGACACATCTTCAATTACAAAAAATCTTTATCCTTCAACTTTGTTGATCCCCTTTGAATTTTCACGCGTTAGGAAGAATGGTATTTCCGCAGTAGGACACAAAAATTTTTCATATATAGGAGCCCAATTAGTACTCTTATTATCAATCGGTTCGAACAAAGTGTTCCACACACTATTTACCACTTGGATACATGAAACAATTTTATTTTATTTTATTTTTATTTTTTTTTTTCGTATTAATAACACAACATGTCGTTGATTTTTGATCGATGTAGTTACATTATACTTACTTCGTGCATTAGATTTTTGGCTCAGATGGAAACAATCAGCAGATAAATACGACAAATCGATGTGTCCATCCTCGGCAAGCGGTAGTTTTCCTTTGAGAATTAATGAAACTATTATAGTAAAATCATTTGTATGAAATTCCGGATAATCAGCAACTTCTTCTTCTATGTTTTGCCACCTGAAAAAAAAAAGAATATAAGGCAAGATGACATGCTTAACATATTTTTTTTATACATCATAAAATCAGTATAAAACGACATACGAAACCTGTTTGAAAACTGTAGTAATGTATAATAATGAGACTAAGCTTCAACAAAATTGAATGTTGAACTTTCTACAGAATGATCATGCATAACAAGAGAAAATATGTGAAATTTATAAAGGATATTTGCACCGGCAAAAAAATATTATACAAGAAATAAAAAAATAAAAAATAAAATGACATTAACATAAAATGGATGTTCTATAATATATACTAAAATCTTTACGAACTTGTTTAACCTTTAAAAGTTACCATAGCTTAATTTTCTGGTTTTTAATTTATTTTAATGTTATTACCGATCGGAGATAATATAAATTACAAAAAAAAAAAATTAAATTTTTATAGTCATCTTTCACTCCACGATTGAAGAGTTAAGCATTAAGTGGAAATTTGAATTAAAAATTCTTTGAACTATACAAACCTTTCCATTATTTCAAAATACTTCTGCCTTTGATCTCTGAATTGCAAAGCAAATAAGCATGGACATTCAAAGGTAGTCGTTAAATAACATTTCAAAAAGTTTTTTCCTTGACGTGCAGCAACAAGTTCCTTCAAGTTAGCCATTACGTGAAGAATGACGAGAGTTCTTGGTAAATTATCTCTTAATATTTTAAAAGTATTAATTAGATCAAGTCTGTGGTTGTCCAAAACTGACCACGGAGAGGAAAGTGTGCATATATCGGTGCAAAAGTCATTGTGTCCAATCAACAGGGAAATCAACTATAAAACATAGAGACAAATACTTTATTACTTAAACTAATTTGCCTAATTCTCTGCCTAATTTAACGTTTAGTCTAAACGCTTTTCACTTTTAATTCACACTTGTAAGTCATAAATTCCCTAATATTTCAAATTTAGTAACGAAAATATGAGAAATTTTTATTCCTAAAATGCTAGTATTATCTTATCGTATAGAGTAAATCCGGAATAGTTCGACCACTTCTTGAAAAAACATCGTGCAATTATTGCTTTGTCAGATTTCTGTTGATTTCGAGCAAATTTATATGTTGTTCATACGATTTAAGATGTAAATAAATTTTACGATAACTTATTTATTTTGCATCTTACCCGCACGTCTGGTTTAAATCGGCAACACTCACTACCTTTGATCTCACTTGATGAGATCAAACTTAAAAAATAATGAGATATATAGTTCAGAAAAATTATAATAAATTATAATAATCTTCGCTCCGACTATCCGCAAATATTTCCGTAATATCTATCATGAAGCCAACAGCTGCAACTTACACATTTAATCCAATCGGCTTTTCGAAGTTTCGAAATAATTTTCTCCGCATTTTTTTAGCACTCCATTTAGCCCCCGTATCACTTTTTCTTTCATAAATGTTAATTTTTACTAATTTATAATAATAATATACTACACTTATTTAATATGGATGAATTGTCCCTAATCAAAGCGGTCGAGCCATACCAAAATCAAAGATCGATCATCTTATTAACATAAAAGAAAATATGTATTATTGAAGTTGTATTGTTGCATTGTTTTATGCAGATTATATCCATCAGTTTTTTTTTTTTTTTTT